GTAGGAACAGAGCCCTCACGCTTTCTTAGCTGGCAAGATGTGCTCAAGGGACTGGTTACTGTCTTTCTGATGTTGAAATGTGCTCTGGTACCAGGGGTTTTGTGCTGAGAAAGGTCTATCTTCCTTTTTTTTTTTTTTTTTTTCTTATTTTGACACTTTTTTCTCCATCTCCTCCTAGTAAAGGGATTGGTATCTTTATTTCTTCGACCCTGCCAGCAGGCACACTTTAGAGGAACATATGTACCAAATTTGCAGTATGCTTAATAAAAATAAGAATTGAGAAGGGTTTGTTTTTTTTTCCTTCATTCAAATGGGTTAAAAGATGAAATCTTCAAAACCAAATGTAATTAAGATTGTAGAAATGCTCGCTAATATTTCAAAGATGCCATCGAAACTTCACTGCATATAAAGAAGAGAGATTTTAGCTGGCCCATTTGACAAAATCCTGAGCAATGCTTTTATTTACTTCTTTTTACTCCATTCCAGTTTAATTGAATGCAAAAACATTCTGTTTGAGTGTCAGGCCAGAGTAGCTGATTTAGCAGGGCGAGTATGAAACGAGCTTGGTGCAATGGAAGTGGGACATACTACAAATAATCAGTGCTGTCTCAGAAACTCTGAAATCTAAAAAGCTGAATTTCTGGACTTTTTTTTTTCTAAGAAGCGGTTTGAATGCTTCATAGTTTTTCTGAACAGACCAACTGCAGCGGATTTTGTGTTAATTTAATGCAATTAAAATTTAAAAAGGATCCTTAATCTGAATATAAAAGAGAGTGCTTTATTGAAGTTGACTCTGAACTCACAATAGGTATATACTTTTAAATCTGGTTTTATGATCATGTTTCATTCAAGTGCTGTTAGACAACAAAGGAATTGTGTTTCCAAAAAAAGGTTGAGCAGTACTGATTAGCATTGCAAAGTCTGCATTTAACAAGATTAGTTTTTAAACTAAACCAGTATATTTTAATTTTTTATATGCATGGACCTAACGTACATCTCTTTATAGAATTTTAAGTATTCGACTCGTTATTGTTTAAAGAAAAGTTGCTGACTTCATCTCAAGTACAGCCTAGTAAAAATGGGGCCTGGAATAGTAAACTGTTGCAGAGCTGAGGCAGAAACTGGTAACCTTCTGACCTCTGACTTTTACTGGAAAATGATATGCAACATAAATTCAGGGGGCCTTTTTTCTTTCAAGTATGTATACGTATATATTCTAGTGGTGCTGTTCACAATGCTGTAGTTGAAGTGGTGTCAACATGTTCATTATAGCCCCTTGCTTTTGGAGCAAACTTTAAATCTGTGGGGTTTTTTTAAGGGTGAAAAAGCTGCTGCAAAAAAATAGGCTTTGAACTAAAACATGGTGTTTTGAGAGGGTTTTTGTACTCGGATAGGGCTGTTCCTTTTATTAGACGGATGTGCGTGTGTTTATGTGGATATGTGCCTGGACAAAACAGCTGTGGGGAGGCTTGCCAGCTTGCTCCTAGACTGCTTTGGAAATCGAGATACTCAGTTCCTGGTGTACTTTTAAAGATTTTTCAGGCTTCATTTTCTCCTAAATATGACATTTTAGTAGTCTGGAGTGCCGATCATATCTGATGTCTTATCATCACCATCCTGGTCAGCTCCTAGCAAGGTGCATGCTGTAAACTCAGTCAGGAAGAGTTTTGTAGAGTGAGTTTCAAGCCTGAGTGCTACTAAATATCTGCAGAAGGACTTGTCAGTGACGCTTTATCCAGTTCTGAAACTTTTACCCAAATCCCAGTGGTTTCTTGAGGCTGGAATTGCAGCCAGTGCTTGATAGATTTGTTTTGTGAAGAAGGCTCATTGCATTCAAACTTTAGGGAAGAGTAAAAAAAAGAAAGAGGGAATTTGCTAACTGGAGCTCTCAGGTCAAATTTGGGAAAGGTGTTTTGGAAAGGAGACCCTGTCCAGAAGGTCTCTGTTACTAAGACTTGCCTTCAGGCCACTTGCCACCTGTGGAAGTGGCATTGTTTTTGAGGAACAGGAATGTAGGAAGGGTAAGCAGTGGTTTCGCTGAGCCTTGCTTTATGTCTTGTTTGTGTGAAATGCTCTGAAGGCTGAGACTATGGGGGAATCTCATCTGTTTAAGTACACCCACAGCTGCATGTACACCTTCTGGTAAAAAAAAACCAAAAAAACAAAAAACAAAGCATGATTTTTAGCCTTTCCCTATGGGGAAGAAGTCAAACAATACGACCCCGAGGGACCAAAATGGAAGAGAAGAAAAAGATAACAAATATCCTGCCTGTCCCCAACTGCCTTAAATTTCCAAATGCTGTGATTTGATGGCTTTTCTTCTGTGGCCTGATGTTAGGAGTGCAACACTGTGGTTAAACTCCTGTATTTACCTCTGCTGGGTGCTCTTCTTGGCAGCAGAAGGAGCCAACATGGCACTGCCACAGCGACCGGGTGCTGTGGAGGGGTGGCAGCGAAAGGCTGGGGACCCCAGCTTGTGCTTGAGAGCATAGGAGTTAACTCGAGATGCATGTGTTGCGTGACATATATTCAGTATATTATGGGCTTCCCTATTTTTAGGAGTTTGTAAAAGTTCCTTTTGGTTCCATCTGTCAAGAGCACGTTTGCCATTTAAAAAAAAAAAAAAAAAAAAAAAAAAGGCAAATCTGATCACCAGAAATAAAACCCTCTAAAACTGTCTGGTTTTAGGTTGTCCTCACAGCCTACTTCCCTAGTTGGGGTAGGTAAAAGCACCTTCTGAGCCAGGTTTCCAACCTGGCTGAAAGTATCACAAGGATGTACGTATGAGCTTTGCATTTTCAGAGAGGCACACAGACTGGAAAGCTTAAGCCCTTTAGCAAGACTTTTCTCCCTTAGTCCTTAACCCAGGCTATGTTAAGGTCTATTTTTGGACTTTTAGGAGATTTTTCTTCTTACCTTGCTCATCACTACAAATCCTTACAAAGTGTGGTTTTAACCTATTTATGTCATAATATGCAGCACACATTGAATGATTGCCTTTGAAAACAGGAGAGATGTTCTTTCCTGTAGACATTTTAAAGTCTTTTTTAACATGTAAATTTATTTACTTAGTAAATAGTAATGACTCCCAGCTGCTTCGATCTATTGTAGAAATCCATATTTAACTGCTAGGAAGCTGTTCTGGGGTCTCGTGCCACTGAACAGCAGGGTATGTTATTGCATAGTACGTTGACACAACCTCTTCTAAAGGCCTGGTATTGTGTCATCACAGGGGATAGTTATAGTACAGGAATGCAGAATAATATTATGAAAAAGTTTTCCCATTGCTCTGAACTTAACGGGAAGGACCTTTGAAGGTCTGTCACCAAATGGTGCAAAGAGATCTGAATTTATGCAGTGGAGAAATAACTTGCTAAATTCTATTTAAAAAGAAGGGAAGCAAATTCTTATGTACAGGCAGGTGATGCAGAGCTCATGGCAGCACTATTTTATCTTATTGCATCCTCCAACTTGAAAATATTCCTGTTTGGTGTATTGAGAAATCTATTTTGTTTGTTTTTCAAACAGTGGGGCCAGGAAAATGCTGAACAAAGCCCTGGTACAGTCACTTTTAATCTAGAGTGTAGCTCTTTATTTCCCACGTTTAGCTCTCCTACATGGTTTGGAAGAAAAAGCAAAATAATCCATCAGTGTCACCTATTTGTGCGTATTGTTTCTTTCCCATTTTCTTTTTTCGTCCAGGCCTCAGCCTGGGTTCAAAACATTTTTTTAACCTCCAAATAATTGTTGCTCCTTCAAGCCAGGAGTAGAAAGCAGTGATATTTCTTTATAAAAATGTATCAATGGCTGCAATGTTGGGATTTTTTTCCAGGCTTTTGTAGGAGTTCGAGTAACCTATAGGCAAAAAGGCAATCGGGTTTATTATTGCTGGGAATCTCCAGGCGGTTGTTTGGAGGCTGCAAAGGCAGGCGGCAGAGCCGGGAAGAGGGGGAGAGAAGGGCCACATTATGTTCCAGATGACTGAGCAAGGATTTATATACCAGCTCTCCTTTTTTTTTTTTTCCTCCCCTTTTTTTTTTTTTTTTTTTTTTTTTTTTTTTTTAACATGGGAGAAGAAAAGTAATAAGAGCGGGGAGGCATTTGAAGCGGTCAGATGGCCGATGACTAATGGGATAGGTGGGCAGGAGCCCGCGGATTGGGTGTCTTAATGAGCACATTTCGCACCGAGTTTGGGCTGCAGTTCCCCTTCACCTTTGCCCTTTATTGACCGAACTGACACTTCATTTTTCACATACTTCCAATTATGGCTGAGCTTAAGTGTTGCCCTGCCTCCTTTCTTTCTTGCCTATGGACGGCTTGAGAGTGGCTGAGGCCACAGAAGATATTTTAATTTGAAAAACTACCATAGCAAGGCAGGTTTAGGGTGTAACCTGAAACTGCTGTCACTTGGCAGTTTCTCCGATGAAAACAAAAGTTTTAATGTTTCTTGTTTAGCGCTTCCCCTCCACCCCCCACTCCTTCTCCGTGGTGAGGTGGGCAATTGCTTTGGGAGCCGATGGGTTGGTGACGGGTGTTTTCCTTGGGGTAAATCCTTTCTGGCAGCACAGGTGTCCTGGTTGGGAGTCACCCAAGTAAAGAGGCAAACCCAAGTGAAAAGCAGTGCCGTGCTTGAACGATGGCTCCTTGTTCCCTCCCAACGCGGCGTCTTCTCAAATGGCTTCATGTGGTGTGATGCCCTGCAATGTCCTTTGCTGGATGCTCTCCTCATGGAAAAGCAAAGCATCATTGTGCTTGCACTTCTCAAGCCTTAGACCAGTGTGGGTTTGTTGTTTTGGTAATATTTAATGCATGAATGCAGATTTGAGTGTGGCCTGGCTGTGAAGCTTTGAGAAATGGCTGAAAATGATGCTGGGAGAGGCAGGTGGGATGAGGAGATGGACGAATCTGCAGTCACCCCTTTGCTGTACAGGGAGAACCCTGATATATCTCCCACTGCTCAAGCCTGTGTGCATTTCCACGTTGGCTTTTACATGCAGAAT